CTCTACGCCCAGTCAAGCACGATTCCACCTCGAATTTGTCGAGCTTCAAGCAAAATCAAGAAAGATTTATTTCTTTCCCGAAAACGCAACCACGCGTCGCCAATAAAAGGAAATAAAACTACATAGCAACTAAATTATGGTAAGAACAACAGCAAACAATGGCTAATATCAAGCTAGGCCGGTAATTCGCCAGGAATTACAAAGGACAATCATAGTGCCCAATCTACTTCACGCCCAGTCTAGTTGGATTCCGGCTCGAATTTGTCGAGGTTCACGCAAAATAAAGGAAGTTGGGTTTGTTTCGCCAAAAGGCAACCACACATCACAAAGAAAGGGAAATAAAAGTAAACTGCAATTAAATTAAACTAAGAACTAGGGCAAACAAGGGTTTATATCAACCTAGGACGGTAATTCGGCAGCAGTTGCTAGGGGCAACCATAGTGCCGAATACACTCTACGCCCAGACTAGCATGATTCCGCCTCGAATTTGTTGAGGTTCGAGCAAAATCAAGAAAGATAGGCTTCTTTCCCCAAAAGACAACCACATGTCGCCAAGAAGGGAAAATAAATGCATGCTGCAACTAAATTAAACTAGGAACTACAGCAAATAACTGCTTATATCAAGCAGACACGGTAATTCAGCAGGAATTTTTAGGGTAAAACATATTGCATAATCCACTTCAGCTCGATTCCGCCTCTACTTTGTCGAGCTTCTAGTAAAATCAAGAAAGATGGGCACCGTCAAAACTCTTTGAAAAAAGGAGAAATCCTAAAGCAATTTCCTTCTTTTGTAACGCCAGCGAACCATGAACGAAAAGGGAATAGTGAGAGTTCACTACCTACACCACCGTTAAATCATGCAAACCAAATGTTGTCTTCTTTTTTGCTTGAAGTCGCTGTGATTTCGACAGATTCGCCCGATAGAGTTAAATGTCTTGTTATATAAGGATATTCCGAGTCGCTGGCCACTACTCCCGAAAATCGAGTCTCGATAGACCTACAACGCTTCCAAGGTCTCTTCAACAAATCCTGTGGCCGACCGAGGAGATTTCAGTATTCAGGGTCTTTAGACTTGGAAGACGCCCAATCGACATATCAGAGCCTACACGTTTCCGACCACTGAAAGTAGTGCTAGCAGATCAAGAACAAAGCAGACTACTTCTTGCATGACGATTAAGAACCAAAGATACCAACGTGAAGTTTTTTTAAACATACTAAACACTAACAGAGAGATAGAAATGCCGAAAAGTAGTTCTGGATTGGAGAATCAGACTACAGAATGGGGAGCTACATCTAATGATCTATAAAGATAAGATAATGTAGCGTCCTCCTTGTATTCGTTGGACCGAAGTAATGTAAATGAAGGCCCAATTGGTGCCTCAAAAGGAGGACCCGCAAGAACCGTATCAAATCCCACCAAGCATTGGTCACCAACATTTTTAACTGAAAACAGTCACTCTGACAACCTGGCTGTCCCACCTCAGAAATCAAAGATGTGTCTACT